AGCGAGCAGTGATCTTGGCTGCTTCATTCTGAGGTTTTCCAACTCAAGGTGGAGTTCAAGGTGCAGAGGAAAAGTGCTGGGTGCTTTTGAAGAATCACGGTTTTTAATGTAGCCCAACACAGGGAATCAGAAATGGAAGCCTATCAAACCACTGCTGATTAAGAAAAATACAAACCTGAATATTGTAGAGGTTGAATATAAACCTTAATATTGTATTGAGGTCCCCTAACAAATGTGTCCATCACAAATTAATTTAGAAGCAGACTCTACTAGCTGGAGATGAGCAACCTGTACATTTACAAATTTAAACCAATAGCTTTGATGAAAGAAAAAAAAAAAAAGAATTTGAAAAGATTGGGCTTCACTGGTATAAGACAGGAGGAGATAGTACAGAGTGCAACCCTCAGAGTCTCTCTAATTTTCATTTAAGTTTTATAGCATTGGAAAATGTTTGTTCAAATAAATTTAAAAAGATAACCTGGAGGTAAACAAAGCACAACAAGTAATTAGAACACGAGTTTCAGCTTAGCCCACTTCATCAAGATAAGATGTGCTCTGATAAAAAGCTTCGTGCAGTTATTACTTTCTCTGACAGCAGTGATGGCTTCACTGCCTGTGCTTCAAAGCAACCACAGAGCTGTTACTTTGAGCAAGAGGCGCTCACATCTTGGTCTGTCAGTGCATCCAGCTGACCAGGCTAATGGCTTCACTCAGACTGTTTGCGTTAACTCCACAGCAAAGTGGGCGCAGCAGACTGAACCAAATCCAGCCCTCAGCAAGATTCCTGCATTTGCTGTTTTTGTCTCTCCACCTGGAAGACTTTCTGAGAGCTCTCTGGGAGGGAGAGTAATGCCACATCTGTGTGTGGTTTGCTGGGGAGGTAGCAGTTCCCCTCTGTGGCTATTGGCTTATTTATAGTAAAAGGAATAATCTGAGACTTTATTGTTTTCATCTTATTCCCTCCACTCCAGGGAGGACAGTCCTGCTGAGGCTGGCACTGTAGCCCTGCAGGACACTTAGCGCCCATATTCTGGGGTCCCACCTGCTCCTTGTTCCAGGTCACCCAGCTCTAGGCAGCTCCTAGACATGGAGCACATGACCCAGCACAGACAGCCAGACCTTGGGACAGCAGCACATGGGAGCCCGGTGAGTGGTTGCCACTGCTGCAACTCCACCAAGGTGCCCACTATGCCTCCTCAGATCTTTTGAGCCCAGGGCTACTTGCAACACTGAGTGAAAGCCAAGCACTGATGTGCTTCTGAAAATCCCGCAGGACATCAGTTTGAACCTCTTTTCAATTAGATAAACATTACAGGAATAGTATTGAGCACACACAGCTAATTTGGGTCATTTGAAGAACAGTATTTTTATCCTAGCAAAAACCATGTAGAACTTCAACGGAAGTAGCCCTCAGCTGCTTTGGCCTGATGTTTCACCAAAGGGCAGTAGCAGAGCAGGAAAGCGAAAAGTGTTTCCTCAGAGGGCTACCTGCTGGGCAATGGGAGTCTGGGGTTATCATCATACTACATGTTAACTCCTAGGATCACCCTTGGAAAACTTGTTTCATGGGTGTTTCTTCTAGCGTATTACTTTGCCTATTTGCCCTTTCTTTTTAGACCATCATTAGTAATACTCTACATCTTTTAAAAGGTGTATTGTTGAGTGTTTTCCCCATCTTTTCTCTTACCTGTTTCTCTCAGAATTTCTTTTCCCAGGCCTTCTCTTCTTAAGGGGCACTCAATTTCTTTTTTTTTCCTGTTGAAAAAACAGTTAAGACAGAAGATTGTAGCTGTGTGCACTATTTGCAGTTGTTTCTAGCTGCCATTAGCTCCATCCTCTCCATGCCTTTGTAATTGTATCTTGTTACTTCCTGCCCCCCTTTCTGTTATTTAAAAAGATCATGTTGTCATGGCATCCTTGAGATCAGAAACAAGAGATCTGCTATATCATCTATTCCATCCTTATTTTAGAGAGCAGCGCGCATAAACCTTTAATTGCATCTCCATTAAGTTTAAGTAATGGAGCTGCTAGCCCTTTCCTGGGAAGATGACCTTATCATGACAGACCTCTCAATTTAATAATCATTCTTGCATTTCCTTTGTCAAACTTTAGCTTTTCTTTTCCTTACAGACACTCTGACCAGTCCTTCTCCCTTTTGGAGCATTTTTCCTTTACTGCAATACCCTTGTAATTCATTGTGGTTGCTTTCTTTCATTTATTCTATTAATCAGTTCACTGCCTCTACACAGGGTTTACCCCAACAGACTAGATTTTGGGAACCGCTATTTCTGGATGTATATTTATACTACACTACTCTTAATGGACTGCTGCCACCGTATTACACAAACGTCTCATAAAAATGAACAGATATCTATTTAGAACATCCTTCTGTTGCAGAGAAGTAATGCGGTCAGACAGAAAATTTGTTTGTCAAATTTTTGGATCCCTGTCACTCTCATGCCAGTCTGTCCTCATAGACTATGTCTATCCTCTCTATCTAATTTTATGTGCTGGTCTGTATTTTATCGACACTGACGTTCATGATTATGGTTCATTGGCCAAAACTTAAAACATGCAATGCTGGTGAGTTTACTACCTATGGAAACCCAGTAGACATCAAACAAAAACATGAAACAAAACAGAAGGTTTGTATCTTGTTGGTCCATCCTTTTGTGCTACATACCCACAATTATTTTTCATCATTTTGCTCTATCCCTGAAGACTTCTGGCAGGGCAGAATACTTCTTTAACTATAATATGCATAATTAACTATAATTATGCACATATAATTAGTGCATAATTAGGTAAGCAGAATTTCTCTGCCCTACTCTACTGTGGCTAATAAGTGTTCCCCATTCCACTTTCACATTTCACAAACATTGTCTCTGTCATTTTTGCCCAAAAGGAATATTGTTCAGACTCTGAGAGTCTGAGAGCTATGTAATGTGATGTTCTTTAAGTCCATGAACACACCACTCCTTGTCATCCAGTTCTATCAATTCTATATAAAATATAGTTGTCTCTTACCTTAATTCATAGTTGCATTGAAAAGCAATGCTTTCTTCACGCTGAGCTTAATGTTTTTTAAGCGTATATTTCCTCTTCTCTAGTGTACCCTATGCAACATGTGAACTTTGACAGGGGAGCTTCCTGGGCTGAGCTTCAGGGCTGAGCTGAGAAAGTATTAATGTGTTCTGCTCAGGTCTTGCTGTCACAATACAAATTAGTGAAGTAGAATGCAGCCAGTCAGAGGGTCGGAAGTGTTTTTAAAGTGATTGCAGAGAAGCCAGAAATGCTTTAGGAGCATCGGACTGAGACTAAAACCTCTCATCTTTTGTCTTCCCTCTTCATACTCTGAGGCTAGATGTTATTCCAACTGGGGGGGATTTTCCTCTCCTTCCCCCTGCCCCAACCAGTTGTCCCTTGAGAGGCACTGCAAATATTTGCCCCAGGGCAGAGACCTATGGGATTCAGCCTCAACAGGGAATGCAGAAACAGCTGGCAGCTGCTGCAGATGAAATGAGGTCAAGGTGCAGGCTTGAGCATTGTCCCAAATGATGGCACCAATACTGGGCAGGTGTGAATTTGCTCTCCCCAGATAGCACCAAGGCTCCTGGTATCACAGGCTAAGAGGCTGATTCTTCACCTGTCTGCAGGTTTGTTCTACTTGGTCTATCAATGACACTAATTTCTCTAATTGACTAGGTGTCTGTGACTAATTCCTTTTACTTTTCTTTGTGATGTTAGCAATAACTAGCAGTTATTCGATGCAGAATGAGAATTTATGACTGCAACACAATGATGTAAAGAAATACAGACCTGGCATGGTAACAGAGGCCTTGAGAAGGAGAGCCACAGACTGCAGTGTAGAGGACAGGCATGAGATGGCATTGGAGACCTCCAGTTTTAGGCATTTCACTAATAGTTCATTAACAAAATGCAGGCCTGGAACTGGATAAGACTTGTTTTAGGAGTAACATAGACAGCAGAAATAGTATCTGACATATAAAAAGGGACCATTCATCGTAAATTTGCATGTAACAAGGAGCTGCAGATGAATGAAGAAAAAAGCATGAAAGTGTGCTAGCACATAAAAACGTTCCCAAGTGGATCCTAGAGGAAGGCAGAAGAAACCATCGAGTATCACATTACTCCCAGGGGGGCACCCCAAATGCTGACAACTCGCTGCAACACCCCACCACCTGCAGCTGCATAAGACCACCGACAGTATGACCGAAAGGATCAGGGGAAGGGTGAGCACAGCACCAGGAACTAAGGAGTGTATGCGTAACAGTTTTAACTGCATTACTATTCTTTCTTTTTCTTCACTAGTTAGATTTGTAGTGATAATGACTAGAGTTTTACGATTTCCATTCTATTAACAATAAATGCTTGGCTTTTATTTATGCTCTGCTTCATCTTTGCCCATAAACAAGATTTTGAGGGTAATACCATGTTGCAGCGAAGGGTTTCCTATGTACTGGAAGAGATGAAGATTTTAAAACTTTAGTATGTTTTCTTATCAAGAAACCTTTCTGGCCTCAGACCTGACCCCACATGTTGCTCAAGGAATACATGGGTGCACCCGTGGTAATGGTTTAGTACACACCATGGTGCACCTACAAGTGGGATTCTGCACAGCATATCTCCGAGCACTATCAGGGTAGATGAAACAGCTCATCTAGGACGAACCTAAGGAGGAAGCTGGACATCAGGGTACACTACTAAAGGGGACACGGGACACCCTGTATCTAGGTGGGGGGATGACTGAATACTGAGGCCCAGGGTTCAGGCTCTCTCAGCCAGTGTCACATGGCTATACCATTGGTGCCTATAACTGCATCTGTGATCCAGGTAGTTAAAGAAAAATTTAATTTCTTCAGAAAACACTCAAAAGAATATCTGCAACTCTCCAGTTGCAACATCATATAGGTAAATTTGTGATCATCTCTGAAGATGTGCATGCTTAGCTGATCATGGTCCTGGATCAGATGATGTACCTGCTCTTTCTCTGAAGCAATTCTCTTAAGAAACTTATATGGAAGAGGGATTAAAAATGGCCATATAGCTTGAAACATTGGTATGGTTTAGATCAAGACTAACTAAACAAATGCATTAATAGTTACACAGTCATTGGATCCATGTGAAGGAATCTACATATTAATCACCTCTGCAGAAGAGCGATTAATAATGTAAACACTACAAGGTTATAGAAACATGGTTATTTCTACTGCCTCTTTCTCTGCTGACAAGTGTGATAGTTGTCAGTAGTCAGGGTAAGTAGAATGCTAGTGTGTCTGTTTAGCTCCTGCAAGTTTGCTCCTACGCATCCCTGAAGGTTCTCCACATTCAAGATTCACTGAAAGTAGAGTTGTGTCACCCTCCTTCAGGCTGAGGTAGAAGATGTTTGTGAGGTGGAGAGTATCTCCCAGTCCTTCATCTCTACTTATTGCAGGCCTGCTCCAAGCTGTTGTTCACTTATTGCTGTAGCAAGTTGCTTCACAAATATTGTCTCATAAGTTCAGTTCTACTATTTCTACTAATTATGTCCATTTTCATAACACTAATGCCTAATTCGTCTGTACCTATCAGGAGTTAGAGCACTAACAACTACACAGCAACATACTAAAGGTTATGGGGGCCTCCAGCATCAGTCTGATTGCTTGAACTATGTCACTCAGTAGATCAGAAGAAGCATACAAGGAAATAATTCGGGAAATATCTGGGATATCTGGATATTAGTCAAGAACAGCAAAGATACATTCCTAAAAATAAAGGCTAAAGGTTAGAGACAGAACAACAGATTTTCAAAACAACTTTTTCTTCTTTTTCTCTGACAAGATCTACCTATCCTTAAAAAACAAATGTAAAGAACTGCACTAGTTTTTTCAGGAAAGCATCAAAAGCCTTGATGCTGATTTCTCCCCAAACACTGCAAGTCGGTGCTGCAACTGCTAAAATTACAAACTTTCACCTTTTAGAAAAGTACAATTTTGGTAGGTGATATTAAGGAAAAGTTTTCATTGTATGAGAATCACAAGATTCAGAAAGGTGGATTAAAATGTTCTCACTGTAAATGATTGGTCAGAGTTAAACCTTCAGTGCTGTCCTATGTACCCTGCAGAAGATGTGCCCTGGTTCAGAAGACACGGACATCTAACTGGTCTCCTGCACCCTCATGAGGACAATGAAGAGCACAGCAGACACCAACCATACGTAAACATTTTCAGTGTTGGCGCCCACAGACATCTCCACCTTGCAGCAGGTCTCACAGATGCCTGCTCCACCTCAGTGCAGTATTTGGGAAGGACATGCCTGAATGTCAGTACAGGTGACTGCCATCACGTAGGGAAGGTTACATGACCCTGTAAGATGGTGGTTGCTCTGCCTTGACCTGCTGCAGGCAGGCTCTACCATGAATTACTTTGTATCTCCTGAGAAACAAGGGTTCACGATTGCCTTCAATACTAAGCCTCAAGTGTGCCTCACTGGACACCATGGACTTTAGTCGTAAACCCTGAGGAGATATTCATGACTCTCCTTCTGTGATTTTCTAAGACCTGCATTGAAGTGGAGACATACCTTTCTGGTTGATGGGTACCATGTGTAGGGTACCAGAGAGCAGTGGTTCCTGTACCACAGTCAGGAGCCGTTCACATGCAAATTCACTTTGCCTGTGTCCTCCTCAGGTCCTCCTCCTGCATGTTTTATAAATAGTAATAGCAGTAATCTAAAATGATATTCAAAACTGTGTCTACTTGTACAGAACAAAATGGTTTACTACAGATCTGGAAAATGTGGGAGCTCACAAAAGACTACTTGGTTCAGATATCCTCGTTAAAGCTGGGCAGACATACATAGCAACTGTGACTGCAGTGAACACTGCTGGCCATTTTTTACTTCTTTACATTTCTATTCCAACATTCTCCTACACCGTTTCTCTCAGGAGAGCCAGACAGCTGCAGACACTCATGGAGAAGCAGTTCTGCTGAAATACCTTGCTCCAGTCCTCTGCAGGAACAAGTATGATCTCTGCCCAGAGGCCACCCAGCAGCTTTTTGTGTGATTACAGGCACCTGCACCACGGATCACACGCATGTCCTCAGAGAATATTTCATTCCATCACTTGTAATGGAAAACCCAGCAGAGGGAGCCTCATTCCTTTATATTGCTGTCTATTAGTGATGCAGGAAGACATGCTCAGCTCCTGGGGCTTGCCAGTGAGTGGTAGCAGAGATGGCTTTGCTCTTCTATCATCAGAAAGGGGGTGAGGCAAAAAATTACTCTGTGGGAGGGAGAAGTTATTTCTAGGGATCAAAATCTTCTAGCCCAAGGGCTGAGAAAGGACAAAGCCAAAGGAGACTGAGAAGGACTTGCCGCTGAGTTGGAAAAGAATGAGATGCCAATAGCTGGCAGAGGAACCATAATCAGCAGAGGCAAAGGTGACAGCCTTGAGAGCTGTGTGTCACTGCAGGCTGGGGGGGACTAGGAGCTGGACATGCCACCTGTCCAGCTGTTTACATGCAGTGTAGGACAGCAAAATCAGAAGGTGGAGAAAGGGACATTTATCAACATCTCCCATCATTTTTCGAGTCCTCCCCTACATGCTGCTGGCCCAGCTCTGAGTGAGCAGCCCTGACCCCAGCTGCACGGGCCCCTGCATGCTGGGAGCAGAGCCTTACTCCCTCTTTACTATCATATCCCACACAAGGCACAGAAATAGCTTGGGAAAGCTCAGGGGAACCTCCTGCTCACTCAGACTGGGACAAAACCAGCACAGGCTACATTATGCCTTGTCCTTTAAGCACTTTTTGCCACCCAGCATCACGAAGTGTTTCCATCTGGCAACAGCTTATGCTAGCTGAAACGGGAGACTGAAGATCATCTTGGGTTGCACAACTTCACGCAGCACCACAGGGCCTGTCAGCATGAAGAGGAAAGGCTGTGAGTGAGGGAAACTCTTTGCCACCTGGATGGCACCAGAATCCTTCCCAGGGTTTTTTGTACAGCTCTCTCGGCACAGCAGGGACAGCTTCAGCTGATGCCCAGCTCATTCAAACACTGTGTTAGCACAGCATACAGCTCCCCTCAAACAAATAATGTGGCCCAAAGAGAGGCTAAACCAGAAGAGAAACACTTATCCTCAGATTAGGAACAAAAGCCTGGGGATAAGGGCATGTCAAGAGCTTAATGCTTTAGGGATCCTGTACTACTCATGGCCTGGAGGTCTAGCTGCATGTTTGTGTCTGCTGTGAATGGATCAGCACACTGCTATCAACTCAGATGTGGCATATTTCCCAGAACACAAGCACTGTTTGGGACTGGAGGTGCTGAGATCAGTGCAAAGCTTGGCTGGGCTGCATCTGCTCTGTGTCCCAATGCAACCTGCATTGGGGTAGTTTGGGCCCAGCATCAGGAAGATGGACAGGGTGAGACTCTTCTCCAGTCTCATTCTGTGTGGGCTTTGGCACCATACGTGTGTTTGGAAGTCATGTGGTAGCCTCTCTGCTCCAGCTGCAACACAGGAACAATGTTATCTTTTCTTGGCAAGGTGCTGGGAAGCTCATCCAGGTTTCCCTGGGAAATGCTCTCACCTCGTGGCACAGGTGCTGGGCACACATCACCTGGAGTGCTCAGATCTGCTGGTTTCGTGCTCTCACAGCTGGGAAACACAGCAAGCCGTTATTCATAACGCTCCCTCCTTCTCCCTCTCCCTCCCCCTCTCCCTCCCGTTTTCTCAGGGCTCTGTGAGCAGCCAAAATCCCTTCTGCCACACACTGTGGTCAGGTCACAGTCCCATACACATTTTTCCAATTACCAGAGTTCAAGGAGGTAGAGAGGAAAGGAAGATCAGGTGCTGCTGAGGGATGCAAATCTCCCTGCAGAGCCTAGTAGTGCTTTGAGCAAATGCTGCTGCAGGAGGGACATCCCCCAAGATATCTTCCATTGATAGCGTGTGATAACGTCACCTCCGTGTCAGAAACAGCAGTGTCTGGACCGGGGGCCCATCACACCTCCCACAGTGCCAAACCTGGGTGAGGAGCGTGGTCCCCACCTCTCCCTGGGACCCACAGTGCCTACAGTGTCCCACGAAGACAGCAAAGCTCGGCTGACCGTGCCTGGAGCCAGCCAGGGCATGGCAAGCCCGACCCCAAGGGCCTGATGGTGCCAGCAGCACCCTGTGCCTCTCTCCTTTAGCTGCTTTCTCTGGGCGTGGGAGACAACAGCACACTCACACACTAACACATGAGGTGGGCTGGAACCTCAATTATATTTCATAATGATATCAGCAAGCCGAGAGCTTGAGTGAGGTGATGTCCTGATGCGAATGTCACAGGCTGCCCCAACTCAACCTGATATAAACCACAGTGAAAGACAAAGCAGACGACAGAGATATTGCCACATGCAGAACCACCTGCACAGAGCTCAGAGACGGAAAGGGTCAGGAAATGACTGTCAAAGCAGAGAGAAAACATGAACCCAAGACTGGGTGGCTGCAAAGAGCCCTTCCCAACTGCCAGATGAACCCAGAGCCCAGCAGCAGCCCTGACAGGACTTGGGACAACCAGTGGGCTAGTTACTCCCTTCTTGGAGACACCAAGCCATCTGGGGAGACAAGACCCTTCCCAAAGCAGAGTCTCACACGTGGAGTATTACAAACTCCTTTACTCCACAGGTACAGCAGCAAAGAACTGCTTGAGCTACATGTCTCCACAGAGGGACCCCAAACAAAGAAATTCCTGGGCTGTGACACACTTACAGTCTAAGCTCCCCACCTTTCACAGGATAGTTCAGAACCGATAGTCATCTTATGGTGCCTTTGTTAAGGCCAATGGTGGGCCAATGCTTTTCTTGCCTCTGCAACTTGTGCTGAGGGCTGTAACTTCCTCAGTGACAGGCGTGAACCCACGTTGGGGCTTCTTTTACCTAACTAGGTAAAGGGTCACGGCTCGCAGCCCAGGGCTTCAGCAACTTTAGCTACTGATGCTAAGCAAGTTAGGCTAA